CCCGCGTCGGGCTCTGTGCTGACTGCCAGCTCAGAACCTGGAGCCTGTTTCAGTCTGTGACATCCTCTCTCTCTGACCCTCCCCTGCTCACGCTGTCTCTCTCTCTCTCTCCTAGAAATAAATAAAAATATTAAAAAAAAAAAAAAAAGAATACTTGTTCCAATTTTGAAGTTCAATTTTACGCCAATCGATTGCTTATTTCTACCGCTGTCTCCCCACGTCCCACTTTTAGGCTTGGCCTTTGGCTCCAGAACTTTGGGGGAGAGATTCTGGTTTGTCTCATGACTCTTTGTCTCCCCATTCAGTATGCTGATCCTTGCTCCTCAATGGTCCATGTCGGGTAGAGAGGTGTGCAAGGGAAAGGGCAATAGCGCTGTAATGTAGGAAAGACGCAAATGCTGTTTCTGTCGTGAGGCAATTTTGGTTCTTTAGAGGTTTCACGAGGACTTCTGTAAAACAAATAGCAAACCTATAAATACCGCTTTCTGGATATGCATGTATTATAAAAAAAGGCATTACAAAAAGGGCCTGGAGCGTACATACCAAACTGAAGGTAATGTATGGTTATTACCTATGGGTAGGCAAGGGAGATGAAGGACAAAGGGTATGGGTATCCCAAGGGGTATTTTTACTGTATCTTTATCATTTGAATTCCTATTATATGTTGAATGTGTTTTGGGTATTTGATGAGATATACACAAAAAGCTGCATATTGAAAATAACATGAAAAATTATAAAATGAAAATTACTTTTAGAAGTAATATAAATATAGAAAGGGCCTCTAAAACATCTAAAATAAAATACCGATATGTTCCTTTACTTAAAAAAATAGCATTTTAAGGTAATTTTTATGGTAATGTTATAGTAGGGAAAATACGTATGCTTTCAGATATAGCATTTAGTTTTTTGGATGTGTGTTATTTCTAAAAGTTACATTTAAAAAATAAAACTCACACTTTGAAGTGTCCCTGACATATAATACAATACAGAGTATAGTTTGATGAGTTTAGACAAATGTGTACACCTTTGTAATTCTCATCAGTTAAGATATGCATTTCCTTTCCCCACAAAGTTCCCTCATGCTACTTTTCACTCAGAGTTCCCAGCACCCTAGGCAATACTGATGTGATTTCTATCACCACAACTTATTTTTGCCGATTCTAGAACTTCATATAACTAGAATCCGCACTCGAATATCTAAGAGACTTTTCTAAAAAAATTAAAAATTTAAAATATATACAGAGCTGTTTGTATTTTTTGTTTCATCTTGTAACCATGTGTTGGATTTTTCAAGAAATTTGTCCATACCAAATTAATTGCCATAAAGTCGCTCAAAATTATCCTTTATTTTTTTAAAGTCTATAAGATCTTCAGTGATACCCCTTCTTTCATTCTTGTTTTTTGTTTTTTTGTGGATTTTCTTTTTCTTTTTGATCATTTTTGCTAGGAGGTACCAATTTTATTGACCATTTTTAGAGAATGAATTTTTTGGCTTTATTTACTTTCTCTGTTTATTTTCTATGTTATTGATTTTGCTCCCTGGATAATTTCTTTGGACTCCTTTGAGGTTCATTAACACTTTTTTATGCTTTACCCAATTTATTTTTACGTATATGCATTGAAGTTAGTTTTTCATTTCACATATGAGTCTTTGAGGTTGCATTTTTTTGTTTGGTTCTAGGCATTGATCTATTTGCAGCTTACAGAATTTAATGTTTCATTATTACATTGTTTTTTTTTCCTGATTTCTCATGTGATTTGTTTTTCAACTCATGAATTATTTAAGTATATTTAATTTTCAAATCTCTGTGGATTTTCTGCATATCTCATAGTTTTTGAATCCTTATTTACTTGTTTTTTTAATGTTTGTTTATTTATTTTGAGAGGGAGAAAGAACACAAATGGGAGAGGGCAGAGAGACAGAGACAGAGAGAGAGAGAGAGAGAGAGAGAGAGAATCCCAAACAGGCTCTGCACTGTCAAGCCCCCTGTTCCTGGGGCTTGATCCCACGAACTGTGAGATCATGACCTGAGCCAAAACTAAGAGTTGAGGGATCAACTTCCTGAGCCACCCAGGTGCCCCTAATTCTGTTTTGATCAGAGAATATGCTCTGTAGTATTTCAGTTATATGACACTTGAATTATGATGCAGCATATGATCTTTCTTGGTGAAAGTTTAAAGGAAATAATATTATGCAGCTTTTAGATGTATTTTATAAATGTCAGTACAGGGTTGTTGATGGTAATATTTAGTCTATCAATATACATCCTAATATTTTTGTCTTCTGCTTCATCATTTACTGAAACAACATTGTTAACATTGTCAACTATGATTATCTTTTTCTCTTTAGTTTTTTTTAGTTTTAGTTTTGTTAACTAACATTATTTCTCATGAATATAACAATCTGAAAATAATGTAATTCCATATACCACCCCCCTATTTGTGTCGCCATATATTTTACTTCCATTTTTGTTATAAATGACTGGAGACATTACTTGTGCTTCAAATAGTACTTTATATCTTAAGGAAATGAATACCCATGCGTTTCTGGTTTCTAGTGTTCTTGATATCTTTTTGAAGTTTCCACATTTGTAGGTTAATGTTTTTGCTGAATTTGGGACACTTTCAACCATTATTTATTCAAATACTTTTTTCTGCCCCATTCTCTTTTTTAAATTTAATAGAACTTTAATAGTTATTTAGTAGTTTTGAAGGCTTGTTTTCTCTTTCCAATATCAGGGTCATCTTGGAGTCTGTTTCCTTTGACAGCTTGGTTTCCTGGCTGTGCAGGCAATCTCCTTGTTTGCATCTCTGGTAATTTTTAACTATGTGCTGGACATTGTAATTTCAACATTGTTAAGAGTCTGGGTCTTTAGTCTATTTAAGTATGTTGAGTTTCTGGAATGGAGTTAATTTAATTGGATTATTCTTAACCTTATCCAGGCTTGGTTTTAGGCTTTAGTTGGGCCAGTCTAGGGTAGTTTTGATTCTAAGGTATGGTCCTTAGTCTTAAGACCTGGTATTTGTGGTGTCTTACAAGAATTCCTGGGTGTTATCGTGGTTCCTCCATCGTGACTGCATAGGAACTTAAAGCTCTCCCAGCCCTGTGCAGCCTTTAGTATGTCCTTTATTCATTTAACCCCATAGTAGCCATGGTCTACTAGGTATTCCAGAATACTGCCACCTACATGTACAGTCTAGTTTTCTGCTCTGCCACTACTTCCCCTAGCATTGTACCACTGCCTCACTTGCTTCAGTAGTGACTCTGATTTGTGATCACTGTGTACCATCTGCCTTTCACCTCTCCATGCTATAGTCAGAAAATTATTTCTGGCTAGAGAGCTTGGGTAAAGGTGGGACTGACCTTAGGCATTTCCTTTTTCTCAAGGATCATAGACCACAGTGCCTATTATCCAGTGCCTGAAAACAGGTGTTTCATAAGTTTTGTCCAGTCTTACAGTCATTTATAGTAGGACAGAAGTTCATTATCAGTTACTCTATTATATTTGGAAACAGAGTAAACAGTATGTGTAGAATTTATTCGGTTTTACATATACCAAACAGAGGCTCACTATCTGCCACTGCAAATATAATTTTTTTAATGTTTTATTTTTTTCTGAGAGAGAAAGAGAGAGACAGCGTAAGTAGGGGAGGGTTAGAGAGAGAGGGGGACAAAGAATCCGAAGCAGGCTCCAGGCTCTGAGCTAGGTGTCAGCACAGAGCCCGATGCAGGGCTCAAACCCACGAACCGTGAAATCATGACCTGAGCCGAAGTCGGAGCTTAACCAGCTGAGACACCTAGGCACCCCACACACTGCAAATATAATAAGAAACTGTATAAACACATTGGGTGTTAGAACTAATGGCATATTGGGTGTATTTTTGGAAATTAATCAGAAAATACTGATTTTGTTTGGACTTTTGTTATGATTGCATTATATACTCAGTTTCAGGCATAGGAATAGACATGATACTGATATTGATCCTGGTTTCCTTATGTTTTGAAGTCAAAGCTTCTTTAGTTACAGAGGGTAGGAATCCACTCAAATTGGTCAAACAAAAGTAGGAAGATTGCTTACGTTTGCAGAATTGAGATGTTAGATGGGTGAAATTCCTAGAGAAAATGAATGGGGAAGCCTCCTTCAAAAGCCTTTTTTTTTTTTAACTTTACTGGTTTTATGCATATATTAGGAAATTAAAAAAAAATCACCCATCTCCACATCATGAGGTTGATCTCTGCCAGTATTTCTTAACCTTGTGAAATGACATTTATTTTTTAAGGCCTACTCCAAATGTTACATAAGAATTAATTGTTTTCTGGGCAGAAACAATTGCTCACCCTGTGGAGCATGCGACTCTTGATCTCGGGGTCTAGTTTGAGCACCACTTTGGGTGTACAGATTACTTAAAAATAAAATCTTAAAATAAAATTGTTTCCTGTGGTGGGTGACAAGAATGTTCTTGGCACTACCATTTCTGAACTCCATGTCTGTGTAGAGGTAGTGGGTTATAAATATTTGAATTAACGAAGATCAAGTGAGAATGTACATTTAGGAAGACTTTGAAAATCATTGTGTATGGACATGTGTAAGGACATTTTTATTAAAATGTTTCACTGATTTGCAAAAGGTATTCTCTTTTTCTGCTTTTAAATGGAAAATCTCATATTGCCTTACTGGCAAAAATTGAAATGGTTTAAGTTGGGAGGTCTAAGTTAGTGAATGCATCATATTGTCTTATGAAATACTCAGTACGTTTTTATTACATTTTTAATTTTTAATAGTTTTTCTTTGTTTTGGCTTTGTGATCTCTTTGGTATTCAAGTATAGGAAAGACAGTAATGGTCACTTTTAGTCTACTGTGGGAATCACTTTAAGGGTCACTTTAAGTGGGAATCAACAAATAGAAATAGTTGGTTGCCTGAACTTAGTTATTAATTTCCCCAAAATACATTCTTTCAATTCTCTAAGTTGACTAACTTTCCTTTCCTAATATTTTAGCTCTCTATCAATATCAACTTCCATCATTGAAAGGATAACTTTGAAGACATGTTTTGCTGAAAAGACAACTGAGAAAAATTTTACGAATGGGATGAACACGCGCCAGTTAACAGACTACCTACTACAATTTGAATGTTAACAATTACCCACCTGGTACAGTTAACCTAGTGATGTACCTGTTCTCACAACACCCTATTTCAGTGTGCTTGTCTTGATTAACGAATTCAAAGTGGAGTACCGCAAACTTGATATGGATAATAAAAAGAAAGACAAGGACAAATCTGATGATAGAATGGCACGACCTAGTGGTCGGTCGGGACACAATACTCGAGGAACTGGGTCTTCATCTTCTGGAGTTTTAATGGTTGGACCTAACTTTAGAGTTGGAAAAAAAATTGGATGTGGCAATTTTGGAGAATTACGATTAGGTAAGACTATTTTGTTTATTCCATTGTGTTTGAAGCATTTTTTAAAAATTAAAAGTACTTTCTAATGAAAATGATTTTGTTACTGTTTAGTCGTTCACTTGTGGTAATTTTAAAGAACCGCAATTTTAAATGTTGGAAATTTCTTATGTACTTGTAGTTTTGTTTGTAAGGAATTCCCTCCTATGAGAATGTGTACTTAACTTGAGATCGCCCATCTGGAATTTGAGTAAAAAGAAAGTAAATTAAAAAGCCCCAACAAGCTGATTAAAAAAAAAAAAACCCATTAGGTGCCTTTTACAGTGTATTTTTAAGAATGATATGTAGGCTACTTTTTCAGATTTGAAAACATTTGAAAACTGATCACTGCAGGATCACTGTATGCCTTAAAGTGAAGGTAATATACTGAAACTGGGGGAAAAAAATCAATGAAATTTACATTAAAACACCCTCCCCCCTTACATTCAGAGTGGAGCTCAGAAATCTATATTCTTAACAAGGGGCACAAGGTGCTGATTCAGTTTATTTTTTATAATCAGGCAGGTTTGGTAAACATCTCATTAAATCTAACTCTGCATTAAAGCAATTGAAACTCGGTGAGGGAAAGTTATGTGCCAGATGTCACACAGCAGTTTAATGACACAGTCAGGACCAAAATCCAGGTTTTTAACTCCTAGCACAGTAGAGATGTGGCTGTCTTGAGGGAAGAGAAATTAAGAAGAGGACAGCATGGTTATATGGGCATCAGTACTGAGGTACCTTGCGGGCTGTGGTCACTGGATCACCAAGAACACAAACTTGAGAAGGAAAAGGAAACACTTGGCTTCACAATTTTCCTTAGATGCAATCCCACTTACAAGAAATAAGTTCAGTTGTGTGTTTACCTATTCAATTACTTCTCTTCATCTTGTGAAACACTCTAATTGTAGGTCATCCTTCATTTTAATATTTTGTGTTGTTCATGTGCATTAAATCTTTACATGAAGCAAGCCAATAAAAGGCAGTGATGTACTTTGTTAATAGCTGTGATTGATGTGTGTGGCAGACGCTTGGATTTTAGTAGGGACTCAAATATTTGAAAGGGTGAATGTTTTACAGTTTACTTTCTTGAAGGATATTGACTTAGATATTTTGAAATTCTTGAACTGTTTCTGATTTTGGAATTAGAAAAAGTAGGTTATTTACTTGTCTAACTGTGAGCTCCATTTACCCATCTATTCAAAGTGTATCATGTGTCTATCATGTATGAAGCATGATTAGGCACTGATAATGCTGGAAAAATATAAAAATTATTCTTGCTATTATGGAAGACATAAGTCATTTAAACACTTGGGGCCTCAAATTCCTCAAGTTTAAAATGGAATGATTCTTTCTTGGGATTCTCTCCCCCTCTCTCTGCCCCTCCACCCTCCGTCCCCCAAAGATAAATAAATAAACAACAAAAAAAAGGAGGACCTGCATGGCTCAGTCACTTAAGCGTGCCACTCTTGATTTCGGCTCACGTCATGACCTCATGGTTCGTACGATCGAGCTCCACATCTGGCTCTGCACTGACAGCATGGAGCTTGCTTGGGATTCTCTCTCTACCTCTCTCTCTGACCCTCCCTCGCTTGAGCATGCACATACAGGTAGTCTCTCTCAAAAATAAATTTAAAAAAATGGAATTATTACTCTTTCCTAGTTGATTGTGAAGACAAAATTCAGACGATCATGTAAAACGACCATCAGTATTTCCGCATATTTTAGGGAAACATTGATCTGCACCCTTAAAATATATCAAAGTGTTTGTTCTGTTTTAAAATTAAACTTATGACCTGTTGTAGTATATTTATTTATATATAGAAAATAGCTTTATAGGCGTATATTATTTTATATGTATGTATGTACCCTATCTCTCTTTTTGGATGTGACTGTAGTACTCTAGTGCTTTGGCCATTTTTATTTAAAAGTGATTTCATATAATTTATTTCATAATAAATACATATGTGCTTACAAACACATCTCTGTGTATGTATGCACGTCTGTGTATATATAAACACAAAATAATTCTAGCTGACCCTTTTAACTGGGGCAATATGAGAAACTACGTGTACCATATATTGAAACTATATATTCTGTATATAGTGAAAAAGCAGTAAAATACCCCCTTTGTTTAGTGGTGTGTGAATAATTAGGATTAGGAATAAGATGATTTATTAGTCTGTCCATCCATCCATTCGTTTGTCATCTACTTATCTATCTGTATCTCTGTATCTAATTTGTCTATGGTTACTTATTATATATTTGTATATATTTATTTATTTAAATGTATTATCTAAACTCTATATGTTTGTGTTTTATGCATATTTATAAAATATATAACATCTATACCTAGATAGCTAATTTATTAATTTTATTCCTTCTTATTGATAGGATACTAAATAAAGTGGCATTTTACTCCTTAAAGGCCCCAAATAATTTCTTTCTACAACAACAGCTGTTGAAACATTCTTCATATACTTGGATAAACATGCCGATGTTGAAAGCTGGTTTGGATTCTTAAAGTGCTTGTTTGAAAACAACATTAATAGACACGCCTTGTATATTTGATTCCTGGCACTAAAATTTTTGTGATTAGTATTGGATGAGAAAGAATATAAGGTATACATGTTCTAGGTAAGGAATTTTCAACAAGGATGCTGTTGGCACTTTGGGCTAGGCAGTTTATTTTTTTGTAGAGGACTGTCCCAGACATTTCGTATTGTTTAGAACTTCCAACTTCCTGGGCACTAAATAAAAGTTGTACCTCCACATACAACCCCAAATACCTTCCACCTGTCATTTTTAAATGCCCCAGGAGGAGACAGTATTAAGCACTATTGAAACTAGTCATACAAGTAATGATTTAAAAAAAAAAAAAGGTGGACATAAAACTTTGGCCTTGAGATTTAAATAAATAGGTAAACATTGCAAATAATCTAAAATTTAAGTAATAGTACATTTTTATTTGTAAGTGAAATGATGAATAATGTATTTTTGTTTTATCTTTATATGTATGGTGGTAAGGTTTGCAATTTATCTGTTTTCAATCTCTTTCTAGCTTAGACAATCATCCAAAACCCCTAGAAATATTTCTTCTTTTAAATTTTTAAAAATTATTTTGCTTTTTTTTTTTTTTTTTTTTTAAATGTTTTATTTATTTCTAGGAGAGAGAGACAGCGTGAGCAGGGGAGGGTCAGAGAGAGAGGGAGTCACAGACCGAAACAGGCTCCAGGCTCCGAGCTGGCAGTCAGCACAGAGCCCGACGCGGGGCTCGAACCCACAAACCGCGAGATCATGACCTAAGTGAAAGTCGGACGCTTAACCGACTAAGCCACCCAGGCGCCCCTTTGCTTTTTTTTTTTTGAGAGAGCGAGACTGAGTGAGCAGGGGAGGGGTAGAGAGAGAGGGAGATCCAGAATCCTAAGCAGGCTCCAGGCTCTGAGCTGTCAGCACAGAATCCGACATGGGGCTTGAACCCAAACTGTGAGATCCTGACCTGAGCCCAAGTTGGATGCTCAACTGACTGAGCCACCCAGGTGCCCCTTGAAGTGTTTTTGATAGTTACTGAATGAGAACAAACATAGCTAGCTAAAATATCGTGTTTTATTGTATATATTTGTGTGTTTTTTGGTATGTTTTGACATGTTAAAAAAATCTTTCTGACTGGAGAGATACTGGTCATGCTGGGCTAGCACCGATTTTTCACATATCAAAGGATTCAGCTGGGAGCGTGCCTTTGATGTGCAGAGTAACCAACCTAGAGCCATCCCTCCTTTGCCTGGCCTGGGTATTCCTGGAGGAGGCCGGCTTCCACTTCACGAACCATCCTGTGGCTAGGTACAAGACAGCCAGAGACCACTCCTATGGCCCAAAGACCACCAGAATGATTTGCTACCAGAATTACTCAAAGTACTTCATTCTGAACTGTTTACCCTGCCTTGCCTTGGCTTTCTGTAGAAACCCCAATAAAGGCTTTGGCCCAGGCTTCTCCTCCCTTTTCTCTGTCTTCTACCACTTGACCAAAATATGATACTTCTCCTCTAGGACCTGTGAGTATAATAAACTTTGTTTTCCTGAGCCTCTGCTGGGTCCCCTCTGGAGGCGACACCTGATTGACTGTCACCTAAAAGAACCCAAAGCAAGGTTGCTGTAAATTGCTTGATGAGATGCCTTGTGTAAATAAGTTGCTGTAACTTTTGACATAATTAGGTATATGACGAGTTTCAGTAACTTCTCTTATTTTTGTTTGCTTTTTTTATGTGTAGTTCACAGTTCTTGTTTGTTTTTATTTAAGAATTGTTTTGAAAATTCTGCAGGACCTATGATCTATATCAGATATGCAGACTTGAGTGCATTCATCATTTTTATGCTTATTGACTTTCTACTGTTACTAACTGTAGTGTATTATAAAACTTAACTGAAAAATATAATAATCAGTAACAGACTCTAGTACTGTAAGAGATCCTGGAATACAAGGTGTTAAGCAAAATAGGTTTTTTTTTTTTTGGTTTTGGTTTTTTGTTGGTTTCTGACATAACACAAACCGGAGGGAGAGCACTTGGGCTTTTTTTGTTTTAATAGCAGCACTAGGGTTTATCAAGCTGCACCTTACTACAGGCGCGGGGGCTTGCCCATGGTCCTCTTGATGTATAAAGCCCGGACATTCTGCCAATTCTTCTGATCAGTGTCACCAGGAAATTGACAGCTAAGTAGATGTTGTACACAAGCTCATCGTCTGTCATCTTCATGTGGCCAGCAGCCACTGCCAGACACAGCACCTTCATCTGGAATTTGATCATGGACTTCACTTCATCCCCTTTGGCCACCATGTTCTCATTGTGGGTCAGCAAGGAAGGGAACTTGCCAGTCTTATTCAGGCCAGGGCCCAGGATTTGTGGGATCTGCTTGACCAGAGATTTGGAAGCCAAAACAGCATTCTGGTGGTAAGGGCGTCACTGCGTCCCCAGTATATGGATTCAGCCTCTGTGTGCAAGGTGATTGCCCCTGTCTTTGCCATCTGCCAGCCAGCCAGCCAGCCAGCAAGAGGAAGAAAAAGGGTCAGGAGAGCACATATTCATTTTTGGAATAGAGGAATGACAGACCTATGTCCCCTCATAACCTGGAACTTAATCACATGGCCACACCAAGCTGAAAGAGAGGCTGGAAATGTAATATCTAGCTAGACAGCTGTTTTAAAATGGACTTATTCTATTATTATAGAATGGAGGGCATGGATATTGGTGGGTAATTAATAGTTCCTGCTATAAACTGGTACCTAGTTTTTGGAGAACAGGGTTTTCTATAATAATTACCACCCAAATCTCTCGAAATTGGTAAAACCATCTTTTCAAGTTCAATAGAGCGAAAGCTCTCCTGGCAATGACCTTTGAAATTGGATTAAAACATCAGGTAATTGGAACCACTCTGCTTGGAGTCTTGTCTTAACTGGATTCCCTCTATACATACACTCCCTCTCTGTCACTCACATTATACACACAAGCACATACCTCTAGCACGTCATGTGTTTGTTCATGCCTAAAACAAACATTGCTTAAGAGCCAAGGGCATGAGGCTGTGCCTGTGTTAGGTTACGCAGGTGTTACACAAATGTATTGTTTAAGCATTGTTCATGGTTAAAAATAAAATCCTCAGAGTTCAGCAAAATCTCTAATGTTCAAAAAAAGATCATGCTTTAAGGATTTAGTGCTTTGTGCTATGACCTAAAAGCAGGCATTTGATCATATAAATGCTCATAAAAGCAGACTTTTAAGAAGAATTTGGTATGTTTTGGTTCTGTGGAATCTGTGTGTAACTTGACTTCTTGGCTTGTGCATATTTTCACCTGTGTACCTGTGACTAAACATCATATGGTTTGGAAAAGATAATCATGTTTTTAGGAAATACAAATTCTGTCTTCACACTCAAAATTGAATTATTCCTTTGCGAGACACCAGTTCCTCAAGATAAAGCTCCTCACCTTATCATTAAATTGTTCACCGTGTGCCTACTAGAAGAAGCCTGAAGTCTCATATATAGTGTGTTCCCAAAGGTGTACATGAAGGCACATCTGAATGTTGAACTAATTGGCTAAAAATATGATAGGTTTTCTGGTATGATTGTCTTCATATTTACGGGATCGGCAGTTTATATTCATGAGATATTTAATATGTAAATATTTTTATTTAGGAGCATAACTAACCCTTCGCCACATTGGCACTCGTCTTCGGTTCCATCTGTGCCAGCTGTCGTGGGTTCTGAGACCTTTCTGCTGAGCATTAGGAAGAGTGCTTGCGTTTGTTTTTCTTTTTATCTCTTATTTTTTTATTCATTTTTATAAAATAGGGACCAGATTAAAAAAGTAATACAGTCTTTGAGTGAACAGCCACTACTGTACAATGGCAGCAACCTCTTAGAGACAAATTTTGCCTAAAAGTTTTACTGCCGTTCATTGGCTGCTGTCTAAAAGGACGTTAGGGGTATTAAGGTAGAAAGTTTCTTGTGTCCAAGTTGCTCATTCTGTGTCCAGTAGCCAGGGCTGGTTACTGTCACAGTTAAAAAGCAAAACAAAACAAAAACACCTATCATTTTTCTGTTTTTCTCATTATAAAAATAATACTTATTGAAAAAATACTGGAAATTCAGAAATCACATTCTATTTTATTGTTCTTTTTACTGTACTTGTGAAGAAACACATTAACTTAGTTATCAGATTGTCTTCGTATACTTACTGCTTCTAAAATTTTCTGTGCTACTTGGGCTACAGATGCTGACCGACCCATTCGAATTTTCTAGATTATTTTCAATTCGCAATGGCAAAGATCACTGTAATTCATTTGAATTCTTTACATATTAAAGTTATTGATCTTTATTTTGGTTTGTTAGTTACTTGTTCTTTGTATATGGCAAATGTTTTTCAATACACAGATATAGAGGTTTAACATATTTTATGGTTTCCAGTCTGTATAAAATCTTCTTTTTACCTTTTCCACCTTTTAAAATGCCCATAAAGACTTCCATATATTGGGTGATAAATATTTTATCTTGTTTTATGGTTTATATCTATGTTTTTAAATATTCAGCATATGATTGTAAGGAAAGGTGCTAATAATTTTCCCCTCAAAGTCATTAGCTACTTTGTCAGAGCCAATTATTGAATAATACTTTTCTTACTTTATGTCACCTTTAATATATTCCAGAGTTTTTCTGTGTGTATAATATATCTAATAGATGACATATGAGCTGTAATTAGATCACATACTGTAATAATGAAGGATTTAAAATGAGGCAGTAATTGGGAAAGGAATTTTGTATTCCTGTTTTCATATAGGACTTCTGGTTTTGAAATGTATTTTAGCATGTGTTTGACTATTGAGTTACTTCCTGAGTTGTGTGCAGTAGTGCAGCAAAGTAAGAATCTTCTCATTTTTGTAAGTGGGCTAACTTATTTAAGGTATCACCTTCTACTCTGAATCCAAGTGAAATGCTAAATATGTCCTTGGGTTGATAAATTTAAGATTTCCTTGTCATTGCTTTGATCTATGGAGCAAAAACCTTTGCTTCATTTAAGTGTACTATGTGCTTTTTTCCACCCAAAGTAGAGTTTTACATAATGTACCATTAAAAATGAATTATTGACAGAATCTGACCTTTTTTCTTTCTTTTTCAAGGGAAAAATTTATATACAAATGAATATGTGGCAATTAAACTGGTAAGTTTGTGTTTCTTTTTTTCCTTAATTATTTTTTTCTGTTTTTTTCTTTGCGGATTAGTTTTCATTTTAATTACTTCTTTGTTTTCATGTCATTTATAACTTGAGTGTTTATTGGGAAAGTGATATGCATAACTGGTTTTTTGTTTGTTTGTTGTTTATTAAGCTCCTAGCATCAGCATGCCCCTCAAGTATGTGATAATGTGTAAATATCTGTATCGTTCCATGCTGTGAAAACTCAATCCCTTTACTTTGATATCATTATAGAATTTAATTTTTAAGTTTTGGCACAATTTGTAATTTGAAGAAGCTGCCCCATTGGTGTCTTTAATTAGAGTAAAACTAGAAAGCAAAATTTCTCTTAATGATTCAAGCATTTTTTTAAGAAAGAATTCTTTTTTTTTTTTTTAATGTTTTATTTATTTCGGAGAGAGAGAGAGACAGCATGAGCAGGAGAGGGTCAGAGAGAGAGGGAGACACAGAATCTGAAACAGGCTCCAGGCTCTGAGCTGTCAGCACAGAGCCCAGCATAGTGCTCGAACCCATGAACCTTGAGATCATGACCAGAGCCAAAGTCAGACGTTTAACCAGCTGAGCCACCCATGTGCGCCCTCCCCCTTTTTTTCCCCAGGCATTTGGACAAATGTGTCCTTAGTATTCTGGATTATATTCTTTGAAAATGTCTTCCCAGGGGTGCCTGGGTGCTTCAGTCAGTTAAGCATCCAGCTTTGGCTCAGGTTGTGAGTTCGAGCCCCGCATTGGGCTCTCTTCTGTCAGCACAGAGCCTGCTTCATATCTCTTGTCCCCCTCCGTCTCTCTGTTCCTTCCCCCCAAAATAAACATGGAAAAAAATTGAAAACGTCCTTCCAGGTAGCTTTTAGTATCTCTTTTTCCATTGATACTTTGTGTATGGTAAAAGTGGCTATTATTTGACCTTCAGGGGTTCAGAAATGACTGCTGTGAGAGGAGGAAAGCAGGGAAAACCAAGTCCCAAGGCACCGTTCCAGAGTGTGCCCCCTCTGACAGCTGTGAGGCACCTCTTTTCTGCAAGAGTTGAGATCTGGGAATTTTTAGAAGACAGAGCTTTGTTGTTCAGGCACAGCGTTTCTGTCCGGTTTGCCAGCCAGGTTTCCCTGAGGTTAAGCCTGGCTTGGTTTTTCCAGTCTGCCTGCCATTGTCAATGTTGCCTCTGCCAAAATAACCACTGTTGCTGGGGTAAAGTGAGATTAATCTTTCAGGAGTATTAGAAGACGAGGCACTAGAGAGAAATAGAAAAACTTTGGGAATGAGTTAGAAGACTGTATTACTCAATGTGAAGTGTCTCGGTGAGTATAGACCAAATTTCACCATAACGAATGCTGTGCATTTTCACTGGGAAGTCAAGATGCCCGTATGTTGTTAAGCCCCCGGAGACTGGCTGGCTGACATGTAGTTGGGACTGGCCTTGACCTAGATGCATTCACCTTGGTTTTAAGGTCTGGCCCTTGGCTTTATGATAGCAGATCTGGTTAGCTCATCTCTTGAGATTGTCCCTATTAACTAAAGGTGGATTCACAGCAATCATTCAGTTCACACAATTAGCCAGGCTTTCAGAGATGTAAATACTTGGAAGACTTAACTTCTAATTTAAAATGAGGTATCTTACTCTTACGCATCCAGAATGCCCATATCAGTATAAACATCATGTTTGCTTTCTGTAGGCTGGTGTGCAGAGAAAGCAAGCTAAATTTACAAGGTTCCCTTCTGAGCATGAAATCAGAACAAGGGGAGTTAGTCTGTATGAATCAGAATAGGGAGGCCCAGAATGCAGTGTTTGAAAGGGCATTGCTGACTTTCATTTCTTTGGAATTCTTCCTTTTTCCATGTTCTGGGCCACCGGTCCAGGATCTAGACAATGTGTGGCGTTGAGAGTGGGGGTGGCACACAAGGATAGGAATGTAGCAACACCCAGATATTCTGTGTTATTGCTGCAGCAGCCTGGGGTGAACCGCTCCACTCACTGGACGATGCGAATGATGCTGAACTGATCTAAGGCGCATAAACCATCGTGTCAAAGCAGGAGACACTGCTGTGGACTGTCCTTTCCTTGTCTGTCATTAATTGGTGACCCATGGGTCCTGTTATTTTCAGATTTGGGACTTGTTTACGCTGTTAGTAAACATTCAGTATGTCGTCTAAGAGCCTGCTTATGTACACACGTGTGTACAGCTCTCTTTAGTTTATCTTCATGCTGTATCACTCTCCCCTTAGTTATTTTTCTCCTTCTTCCTTTTTTGTGGACAGTCTTTCTCTGTCCGATTTGTCCCTTTTTAAAGCACAGCGATCAGCACTACATATAATAATAGTGTTTTTTAGTAAAACTGACAATTTTGGGGGATTTTTTTTTTTTTTTTTTTTTTAGTATTTTGAGATTGAAGTATGCTATGCAGAGAATCATCTTCGCCTCAAATTCATCCAAAAATCTGTTTGGTAGGGCAGAAAACATTTCACAGAAACGATTGGACCGTGGTTTGGTACTTAGTTTATTAAATATTTATGTGTATAAAATATGTATGAAACATCCTTATATGTTTCCTTATTTGTATATATTGTATCATAACAGATCACAGTTTTCTTCAGAGCCTGCTTTAAAAGTAATCGCTTAAAAATGTTATGTTTGGATACTTTCAATGCTATCTGATTTCTCTATTTTGGTAGAAACAGGGGCATTTTGATAACAGTGTTGTTCAGAGAGCATATTTCCCTGATGACCTCAGCTCTGCTCTGCTATCTCTTATAAAGGGTTTTACCTTTATTTAATTTTATCCTAGTTCAGAAGAATAGTTTGTTTCAGGGTAATTTGTTAATTTCGCCTCACCTGGCACTCTCATATGTTGTTATTTGCACTTATATAATAACCTGTTGCTCATGAATCATGAAAATGTCAACCCGTGGGGAGGTGACTTTTGTTATATGGTGGTATAATAAAATTTTACTGCTAGTGAAATACTGGAATCAAGCTGAGCTGACTCATCTAAATTAGACCTGAGTTTCTGTTTTTACCAAGGGAGTTTTAATGATTGAATAAGTTATGTGTTTAATTTCACCAGTAATTGCATAAGTGGGCATCTTTCATTACATTGTGTAGTTATGTACTTCTGTACATTTAACTGAAGAATTTGTAGTTATGATAGCACTCACCTTGTGGAAGGCACTGTTTTAAATCATATATATAAATGTGTATATATATAATAGAAATAAATATATGCACATATGTATAATAAAAAAAGATAAAGTTTTATTTCTCTTTTATAGAGGAAGAAACTGAAAAGTACAATAAGGCTAAGTAATTGACCAAAGTCTACTCAGCTAGTAAGCAGTGCATTCAGGATCAGACTCAGGACAGTTTAGTTTTCGTGTCTGTGCTTTTTTTTTTTTTTTTTTTTTTAATTTTTTTTATTTATTTCTAGGANAGGAGAGAGAGAGAGAGAGACAGCATGAGCAGGGGAGGGTCAGAGAGAGAGGGAGTCACAGACTGAAACAGGCTCCAGGCTCTGAGCTGGCAGTCAGCACAGAGCCCGACGCGGGGCCCGAACCCATGAACCGCGAGATCATGACCTAAGCGAAAGTCGGACGCTTAACCGACTAAGCCACCCAGGCGCCCCTCGTGTCTGTGCTTTTTAAAACTTTTTTACTCTCCTGCCTCTCAAGAGCTGAGCTGATTGTTTTCTCTTACAATAATCTTTATGACTATAATTTCCTCCCCTGGGATTCAAGTCTTTGTCATGGGTCATAGTTTTCATTATGCTGTGTTTTGATATAGCCTTGTTTTTAGTTATTCTCTTTGGGATCCGTATTCTTCCTGAATTTGTGGTTTGTTGTATTTCATTAGTTCTTGCAGATGAATAGCAATTATTTCTTCAGTTACTGCCCCTGCTCGCTTGTCTCTCTCTTTTCCTTCTGAGATGTCCGTTAGACCTTTTCATTGTATTGTCCAGATTTCTCATGGTTTTTTTTGTGTGTGTGTATTTTCCATTTTTCTTCCTTCATAATGCATTCTGTGTAATTTACATAGACACATTCCCCATCATTTTTTTAGTTCTGTAGATGTTTTCCCATGTATCTTCCAGTTTCCAGATTCTCTCTTCTGTTGTATTAATCTGCTGGCAGACTGAGTTCACGATTTCAGTTATGGAAGCTTTAAAAATATTTTTGAGGTCCTGTTGCTTTTGTTTAAATCTTGTTAGTTTGTTATACTTTCCTATTAGGTCTTGTACAGATTTCCTGTTACTCTGTTGTACAGTATCCTGAAGATATTTTCACACCTATATTATTTCTTAGGTCTAAAATTTCTGTTGCTTCTGTTAACGTTGTTTCTCTGTGTGTATAAATCTTGAAAACATTATGTTGAGTGAACAAAGCCAGACACCCACATATAAAACATATACTGTATAATGTTATTTATATCAAATCCAACAACAGACAAAACTCATCCAAAGGTGACAGACTCCAAAAGTGTCCAAAAGTGTCTGAGGGAGGGATGATGGAAATGAAATGTTCCAGAGGTTTTTTGAGGTAGTGGCTGCAGGGGTATGTATGTAGTTAACTAAGCTCATGGACCTAATGCTCATGAATGGTGTGTTTTACTATAAGCTATACCCTAGCTAAAAAAATTAAAAAAAATATTATTGCTCCTGATGAAAGTTTTATATTTTCATCTTTGTTCTTTCTTGTCTATAGTTCTCGTTAACCTTGAACCTTTATGTGAGAAATACACAGTTCAGAGGTGAATTCTTAGGAATAGGAGAAAGAGTAAGGGCCACCATTTCCCTAGTCTTGAATGTTTGGAGTCTATTTTTCCTTAGGGTCAAAGAGTCAAACATAGATTTCCTTACTGCCTCATCTAATAGTCACTTACATACATTTATGGCATCAATTGATTTTAATTGAACTCGAAGTTAACTTTTATTTGGTTCTAAGTTTAGAAAAAGCTGCCTAGTAGAATATTAAGGTATGTAAGAGTTGATGCCAAGATTTATAACATTTGGAATTGGGACTCCGAGATCTTTTAGTAACTTAAATATTGTTTTGTTATTTTTGTTTATTTTTTAATTAGGAGCCCATGAAATCCAGAGCACCACAGCTACATTTGGAATACAGATTCTACAAGCAGTTAGGATCTGGAGGTAAAGTCTTATATTAATTTTTAAATTTGTAATAAAATGAGTTGTCTTGATTAATCACTCTTTGGTTTCAAAGAATAGTATTTTAAATTTGGTGGAATATGAATCACTTCTTAAGGCTATGCTTACGAGACATTCCCTTACTGGAATCTTAATGTTCTCTTTTTATTTTACTTATGACATCTTTGGAGCTTACTATGTTGATGTTAATATGAATAGAGAACATTGTGAAAAAAATTTAACTTGAGAATACAAGATGCAAGTAGCTAATAATATCCTTAGCCTTTTTGGTATTAAAATGACTTAGGACTTAATGGTAGGCTGAAAAATGGCTCCCTAAAACAGATCCGTATCATAATTCTTGGGACCTGGAAATTTACCTCTGCAGGAATGATGAAGTTAAGGATCTAGCGATGGGTAGATTATTCTGGATTATCTCGATAGCCCTTGAACACAGCCATAAATGTCCTTGTGAAAGAGAGGAGGAAGAACATTTTACATACACAGCGGAGGAGAAGGCTGATTGGCTACAGAGACAGAGATTGGAGTGATAGAGCCATAAGCAGGGAATGCTGACAGCCACGAGGACCTGGAACAGGCTGCTAGGGCTCTCCCTTAGTACCCCCCGCGGGGACGTGCCCCTGCTCACACCTGGATTCTGCTTGGCCAACCTCCTTTCTGATTTCTGGCCTCCAGATCTGTGACCAAATAAATTGCTGTTCTAAGCCACAAGCAAGCAGTATTTATATTGGCTGTAGGAAGTTAATACAGGTGTATTTTCGTAGAAAGTCTAAAATTAGTGAGAATATTTTTTGCCACTGGAAAAAAGTAATGAGAAGCTTTCCTATAGTATTTTGCATTTACTTTATGCAGAAGCGTCTCACAGCTATACTTCTGCTGTTTACATCTATTCTGCTAACTATAATGATTTTTTGTATGGGTGGCTTCTAGTCATGTAGGGATATTTTGTTTCCCTACGTTTAATACAATTTTTTTTCCACGTATCTTTTTGTATGCACGTGTTTACATTTTAGTTGATAGAGTTGAGTGCTTAATACAGTATTCATTTTGCACATTATTTTTCCCTAAGAGTATACTTTTGAAATGAGTAGTTATTGTGGGGACCATGAGTTGACATTTTGTATTAATGTTTTTCTCACTATAGGCTTCTTTTTTTTAATGTTTTTTTTTTTTTTTTTATTCTTTTTCTGAGAGACAGAGAGAGACAGTGTGAGCAGGGGAGAGACAGAATCTGAAGCAGGCTCCAGGCTCTGAGCTGTCAGCACAGAGCCTGACGCGGGCCTCAAACCCATGAACTGCGAGGTCATGACTTGAGCCGAAGTCGGACGCCCAACCGACTGAGCCACCCAGGCGCCCCATTATAGGCTTCTTATAATGCATATTTAAGTCTGATACAGGTAGTCCTCCAGGAGTTATCAGAATTTTCACTGACTACTGAGATTTGAAGAATAGGGAGATAAAACTAATTGCAAGTGAAGCTGTACATGTTATTTAGGACTAGCAAGTGGGATAGAAAACCCTAAGAAGCCAATGGGGGGGGGGAGGGGAAGACTTAATTGGCTCATATCCTGGGAATTCAGGAAAGGGACCAATATATTAAGACATTATTGTGTCCAGGACTTCATATACTTTGATCAGGGATGTTCTTGTATTTGTTTCTGTGCTCTACCTTTTTGTGTGTGTGTAAGAGTCATTTTCTGCTTGGCTCTTTTTATGAGACAGTGAGGGTGGTTACCATTAACCTAACTTAGCCATTATAAAAGCATTCCTTGCCTAAAAATTCTAGCAGAGGTTTTAGGACTGATTCTTAGGGCCCTATTCTGTGTCCTGTGCTTTTCCTTGTTTTAATCATGATGAATTTGATTGCCCAGGCTTGGATCTTAGGCTCATCTTAGGAGTTACCTGGGACTCAGGGCCTGAGAATGGGGTGAGATGGTTTGCCTAACGGGAAACTGAAGTGTCAGTCAGAAGGAGGATTGGATGCTGGGCTGATAAAGGCAAGAGATCTATCATTACTTTAAGTAGTAAAACTATCATTTGGAAAAATAGGATTGAATACTTTAATTAGATAAGAATGAATAAGTCACTTTAGAGTTTAGGGAGTCATTAAATTGAATACCAGAGGTACCCTCTTATTATTCTATTATGTCAAAGTAGCATTAAAATGAAACCTATGTCTTTACCGCTTGAATGCCATAGGGCTGCAGTGAACAGAGACCACCACGAACAGGACAGTCTGTGTGTACCAGAGTGCTCCCCAGTGCTCCCCTGAGCTCCCCAGTGCTCCCCTGAGCTCCCCAGTGCTCCCCAGTGCTCCCCTGAGCTCCCCAGTGCTCCCCAGTGCTCCCCAGAGCTCCCCCAGTGCTCCTCAGTGCTCCCCTGAGCTCCATGGCATAGCATTTACTTAGATTGAAATACGGGTGGTATTGCATGAAGCTGACAAATATGACTATTTTTGACTGCTGTATGTGAATCATGTGAATTTGGTTACTAGGTAGTATTTTATCACTCATGAATTTTAAACACGTTTTTGAGTACACATGTGAGCTTTGTAGAAAAACAGAAGTTTAATTGGGGAGAGATCGATGATTTTCAAATAGCTTGATTTTGGAATTGATACTTGATTATATTTTCAGACTCCTCTTAATCATAAATGTGCCATTCAAAGTAATTTAACTCCCTCATGGTATTTTAAATTTTATTTGAGTAGTAGCTTGCTTGTTAATGTTCTCTTTAAAAATAAGTATAGTAGCTCAATATCCAGACTGTTTAAAGAATTTCTAAAACTTGACCACAAGAATACAAACAGTCCAATTGAAAAGTGGGCAACGGGCTTAAATAGACATTTCTCCAGAGATACTCAGATGGCCAAAGAGCACCTAAAAAGATGCTCAGTATCACTAATCATTAGGGAAATGTAAATGAAAACTACAAAGATAGATCACTACACACCCATAGAATGGCTGTTCTCAAACAAAAGAGGAACAAACCAAAAACCCGTAAATAACAGGTGTTGGTGTGAATGTGGAAACATTGAAATCTTTGTGCATTGCTGGTGGGAATGTAAAATGGTACAGGTGCAGATGCTATGGAAAATAGTATGGCTGTTCCTCAAAACAAATTAAGCATAAAATTCTCATCTGATGCAGCAGTTCTTCTTCTTGTTATATATACAGAAGATTGCCTGCCAACAGATATTTGTACCCCTGTGTTCCTATTATTCACAATAGTCAAAAGGCAGAAACAGCCCAAGTGTCCATCGCTGGATGAATGGATGAGCGAAATGTGGTGTTTTTAGACACATGTTATGAGATAGATAAGCCTTGAGGTCATTAGGCTAAATAAAATGAGCTCATCACAAAAGGACACATTCTGTATGACTCCCCTTATTTGAAGTGCCTAGAGAGTCAGGTTTCTGGAGACAGAAAGCAGAACAGTGGTTGCCAGGGGCTGAGGGGATGGGTACGAGGTGACAAGAAAGATGGATAGTGATGGTGGTTCCATAGCACTTGTGAATAGTTACCTCACGGCACTTAACTGTGTACTTTAAAATACAAGTTTTAAAAAAAGAACACATTTTTATATTATGTATGCCTTACCACAATAAAAGCAGAAGTCAAAAGATGGATTTACTCAGGATTATTTAGTGAGATGTGAAAACATCTGTGATTTCTCTAGTTCTGCCTGTCTTTCTCTCATTTCCCTGAGAACATGCCTCTTTTCTCTGTTATTTGTTCACTGGGTCTGTTCGGTACAGGTGGTTTTAAAGCTAAGGGAATGGGAGCACCTGGGTGGCTCAGTCGGTTAAGCCGTCTGACTTCAGCTCAGGTCATGATCTTATGGTTTGTGGGTTTGAGCCCTGCGTTGGGCTCTGTGCTGACAGCTCAGAGCCTGGAACCTGCTTCAGATTCTGCGTCTCCCTCTCTCTCTTTGACCCTCCCCTGCTCACACTGTCTCTCTCCCTCTGTGTCAGAAATAAAAAACAAAACAAAACAAAACATTAAAAAAAATAAAGCTAAGGGAATGGATAAGGTCTCCCACTCAGGTAGGGTGTCACATGAGAAGAGGAACAGGGAGGAAACTGTGCTGACCACTGCATTGGGCATGGATGAATTCAGCTGTCAATAACAAAAATCATGACAGCAGTAGCTTAAATAAGTCAAGGGGTGTTTTGTGAGGGAAAATAAATAAGGATTTGGAGGTAGACAATTCTGAGGTTGAGACAGCTTCTCAAAAGTAAGGAATCTGTGGGGCGCCTGGGTGGCTTAGTCGGTTAAGCGTCCGACTTTCGCTTAGGTCATGATCTCACGGTTCGTGGGTTCGAGCCCCGCGTCGGGCTCTGTGCTGACTGCCAGCTCAGAGTCTGGAGCCTGTTTCAGTCTGTGACTCCCTCTCTCTCTGACCCTCCCCTGCTCATGCTGTCTCTCTCTCTCTCCTAGAAATAAATAAAACATTAAAAAATTAAAAAAAAAAAAGAGTAAGGAATCTGTTCTCTTTAGCTTTCTGCTCCTGTTTTTTTTTTTTTTTTTTAATGTGGCTTTCTTCTTATGATCCTGAATTTTTTTTGTAACAGAAGAGAGGAAACAATGAAATTGCTTCCTAAATAAGGATAACTTCCAATTCTTTATCTCCTGGTTCTATTCTTAAAATCTACTTACACCTGTATATCCCTAGTGGAATCCGAAATTCTTTCTACCTAGAATTTCACTTCCTGCCTTCTTTTCTCCTTTTCCAGTGATTTTGCTCTTTCCAGAGACCTGTTTGCTCTTTTGGATTATCTTGTTCCATTTAGTGGCACACCCATTCCTGCTGAATGTGTTTCTTGTCTTTGATTTAAGCCGATTGGGACGATCACAGAATTCTCTCATATCATTTAGTATAAAGTCCGAACTTCTTTCTCTTTTCTCCTATCCTCTTTTTGGTTGCACTAAACGTACTCTTTCGTGAATAGATCTTATTATTTTCATTTGCCTGTATTCTCC